TGGATCTCCTTATGAAAGCCATTCGCGGTGGTTATGGTAAAGTTTGCAAAGTAGAGGTTAAAATCATCAATTAGGGGACTGCTAAAGTATACCTCTGACCTGTCTTAGATTCAGTAGTCCTTTTCCAGAATAAAGAGCTATCTAGTTAAATGTAATTGTAGTTCAAAGATATACGGTAGTGGTATATATTTTAACCTGGCAGTACTAGGGTTGTTGGTTCAAATCCCAGCCACGGCACCTCCTGCCTGGAGTTTGCATGTTGTCCCTGTGCCTGCGTGGGTTTCCTCCGGGTACTCCGGTTTCCTCCACACACTCCAAAGATGTGCTGGTAGGTTAATTGGATCCTGTCTAAATTGGCCCTTGTATATGAATGTGAATTAGGGACTTTAGATTGTACGCCCCTTGAGGGTTAGGGACTGATGTGAATGTGCAATATAAATAAGTAAAAGCGCTGCTTAATTGACGGCGCTATATAAGTACCTGAAATAAATAAATAAATAACCAGGCAGGGAGTGCTTTGTATTCACATCATTGTGTTGAGTAGGGAGCCATCTATTGGGCATTCACTGCAATTGCAATCTATTCTTTTCTGAAACAGGAAGTTTCTTTCACACATCAGTCCAGTTCCAGTTTAGCTTCCAGAAGGACACAACAGTGAAGGCTTCCCTTCTCCCTTTGATACACATATGCCTGTAAGTTCTTTCATTGTGTTTGTCATAGATATATATATATATATATATATATATATATATACAGTACTCAGCATAAATGAGTACACCCCAAAATATTTGTCAGAAAACCTTTCCTTTCCTTTCAGAATCAACATTTTCTATGGGACACTATACTACAAAATACTCACACAAATGCGGGCCATTGATTGCAAACAAGATTTGTTAATTAGCACACACAAAAAAGTATATTTCCTAACACCCCAATGAAAGTCTTATGAGCAAAAGTACATTTTAGACAACAAAATGCTAATTAACAAAAATTCAACTACAGGCGAGTCTAATTATTCATTAAACAGGTATCACTGTTCAACAGGTAAAAAGTTTTGGGCATAAAATTAGCTAATCTTACATAATTTTGGGGTGCTGAAAAACGAAAATGACCCTAAAAAATGTTGATTGGCTCTAGTTTCCATGATATATTCACCCATCTAATGACGTAAGCCATTCAAAATTATGATGCAACTTCAGCTGCATATTGCGCAATTGATACTGGTGACCAATAGAAAATTGCATGTATACTGAGATGATGCAATATTAGCCTTTAATTGCATCACTTCACTGCATAAAAGCTGCAGTATCTGTAGCTGATTGTAGTTCGACAGCGTCTTTACATTTCGTTTTATGCTTATATAGGCTACTCAGTAATGCCTCGAACTTGTGTGAATAAAGCAGATAATTTCTGCTATATCTGCGGTGAAATAACTTATATCTCACAAAAAAGGAGGATAACAGGAATGATTAAGAAAGCCTACAACTTGTATTTTGGCTGCAAGATAGGAGACCAGGACAAGAGCTGGGCACCACATCTATGCTGCAATTCTTGTGGGACGGCACTGGAGCAATGGCTGAATGGAAAAAAGGCATCTATGCCTTTCGCTGTGCCAATGATTTGGAGAGAGCCAACAGATCATGTTAGTAATTGTTACTTTTGTATGGTGCCTCCAACAAAAGGGCTAAATAAGAAGAAAAAGTTATCTGTGCACTATCCAAATATTCCATCGGCAATACGTCCAGTTCCTCATGGAGAGGGGCTACCAATTCCTAAAGCACCAGAATCCTTCGTGGTTGAGTCAAGTGAGGAAGAACCTGAAGCGTGTAGTCATCAACCGTCAACCTCACATGACCCAGACTTTCTTCCATCCACACCCACTGAACCACACCTCATTACACAAGTGGAATTGAGCGATCTTATCAGAGACCTGGATCTTCCGAAGAACAAGGCAGAGCATTTGGGGTCAAGACTACAACAGTGGAATCTCCTAGCAAGTGATGTTCGTACGTCTTTCTACCGTCATCGTCAGAAAGATCTGATCCCATTCTTCGTCCAGGAAGGTGATATTGCTGTATGTAACAATGTTCATGGTTTAATCTCAGCCATCGTCGTATGCTATGATCCCGATGAGTGGAGGCTGTTCATTGATTGATGCTTCAAAGGCGAGTCTTAAAGCTGTTTTGCTCCATAATGGCAATCAGCTGCCGTCAGTTCCAGTTGCTTACGCAGTTTCAATGAAAGAAACGTATGAAAACTTGAAAGAGCTTTTAAGGTGCATCAACTATGCTGAACATCGATGGTCGATTTGTGGTGACCTGAAGGTGATTGCTATCCTACTTGGACTTCAAGGTGGATATACTAAGTACTGCTGCTTCCTCTGTGAGTGGGACAGTCGTGCGAGAGAAATGCACTATGCCAAAAGAGACTGGCCATTACGCCAGTCATTGCAGCCTGGAGAAAAAAATGTTAACTATCCAGCACTTGTAGACAGCAATAAGATCTTATTACCTTCATTACACATCAAGTTGGGATTAATGAAAAACTTTGTTAAGGCAATGGACAAGAATAAAGCAGGTTTCAAGTACCTGATTAGCAAATTTCCAGCACTTAGTGCTGCAAAAATAAATGAAGGAGTCTTTGTTGGGCCACAGATTCGTAAACTTATTCATGATGATGAGTTTCTTTCTCTGTTGCGTGGAAAGGAAAAGGCTGCCTGGACAGCATTTGTATCAGTGACATCAAATTTTCTTGGAAACAATAAAACACCAGACTACAAGAAAGTGGAAGAAAAACTCATCCAGACTTACAGAAATCTGGGTTGCAACATGTCTCTAAAAATTCATTTTCTACATTCGCATCTGGATTTTTTCCCACCAAACTGTGGAGCAGTGAGTGATGAACACGGAGAGCGCTTCCATCAAGACATTGCAGCTATGGAAAGAAGATATCAAGGTAAATGGAGCCCATCAATGCTTGCTGACTATTGCTGGACAGTTGTAAGAGATAGCCCTTTCCTCGAATACAAGAGAAAAGCCAAGAGAAGCAAAACCGACACAAACTGAAGACAAAACTAGTGAGAATCCTAAGTATTAAAATGATTCAACTTAGCTTATGGCTATAATTTTTCTTGGTAATCCTATGCAATATATTATGCCATTTAGGCTTTGTTATGTAGTCAATATCACTTGCTTTATATTTGTGGAAAGACATCTATCTATATAATTATTGTGCATTATGTAGTCATTACGCCTATAGTAGAAAACTTTCCGTTTACAGAAAAACTAGAGCCAATTGACAAATTTCATTGTTATATTTGAACTCAGAATGTGAAATTCATTAAGAAATGGATCCTTTTGTTTCCAAAACTGGCAAAAAATAAAAAATTTGTTGAACAGTGTATCCAGCAGACAGTTGATTATAACTTAACAAAGAAAACCCTTTCCCATTTTATGCTGTCAGTAGTGGCATCACATGGAAGAGAAATGTCACTAGGCCTGAGAAAGAAAATAATTTCTTTACACAAGAAAGGTGAAGGCTACAAGAAGATCAGCAAAGCTTTACTTATCAGTCAGAATACTGTAGCAAAAGTGATACAAAAAAAACCTACCAAAGATGGAACTGCAACCATCTCACAGAGATATATAGGCTGTCCATGGAGGTTAACACCTTGACAGGAGCGTCTTCTGATGAGAAGGGTTGAAGAAAATCGCCATGCAAGCTCACTGCAGTTAAAGAAATAGAAAGTCAATCTAGGGTGATTGTTTCCCATGACACAATATGGTGTACACTGCAGAGGTATGACATGCATGGTGTCATCCATGGAGGAAGCCTCTCCTAAAGCCCATGCACAAAAAATCCCTCCTAGAATTTGCCAGGGCCCATGCTGAAAAAGAAGAAGACTACTGTGACTCTGTACTCTGGAGTGATGAGACCAAGATAAATGTTTTTTAAAACTGATGGCTTCAAAACTGTGTTGCAAAGGTGAAGAGTACAAAGAAAAATGCATGGTGCCTACAGTGAAACATGGTGGTGGCAGTGCCCTTCTGTGGGGCTGCATGAGTGCTGGTGGTGTCTGGGAGCTGCATTTCATTGATGGTATCATGAATTCACAGATGTACTGCTCTATATTGAAAGAAAATATGCTACCATCACTCTGTGCCCTTGGTCATCGTGCACTTTTCCAACATGACAATGATCCAAAACACACATCTAAAGCCACTGTGGCATTTCTGAAGAAGAACAGGGTAAAAATGATTCAGTGGCCAAGTATGTTTCCTGATCGAAACCTAGTCAAACACCTATGGGGAATTCTGAAGAGACAAGTTGAGCATCACTCTCCATCCAGCATCCAGGCTTTAAAAGAAGTCGTTCTTGAAGAATGGAAAAAGATAGATGTTGCAATATGTCGCAAACTTGTTAATTCTATGCATAGAAGACTTGGTGTTGTCCTTACAAATCATGGAGGTCATACAAAATACTAGATGTAATAGTTTAAGTTGTAGGGTGTGTTCATTTTTGCATCAACTAATTTGAGTAAACCGAAGACTTTGTAATCTAAGTTATATTATTAACCTTACTTTCATGTACTGAGCTAAACAAATGTTCTATAAAACTCAGTTTTGTCAAAATTTTGGAAATTCTTCTTGTGTTCATTGAGATATTGATTAAAATCTTACTTTTCAAAAGGGGTGTACTCAATTATGCTCAGCACTGTATATATATATATTGTGGCAGTGCGGTGTCCTGCCACGGTCAAAATAAAGCTGAAAAACCCTGGATTCTCAACCAGGCAGGTTGAGGGGCTCCAGAGAGTTAATGTATTGCAGAGGAAACTGACTTTTCGGTTTACTCATTTTTTCATTAAGTTTGTTTTGGGATCTGGAGCCTGGAGTTTTCAAAGAGATCTGGGAGGGATGAAATCTCCAATCCGGGGTCCGTGTTTTGAGAACCCCCAGCACACTGATTGCACAGGTGTGTGCAGGCATTTTTATAGAGTCCTAACCATAGTTCTGGGCTCGACCCTGGCAAACGGAGTCAGGAGGGCTCCACCCCGGCAGACAGGAGGTCTCTGCCTTGGAGTCAGGTGAAAGCCAGACTAGCTGTGTGCTAGTGGCCATAATTTGGGAAGAGTCTGCAGGAGACAGACAGTGAAAACTGTGTACAAGCCAGGAGGCTGAATCTTTGTTGGTATTTCTTGATGGTGGATACCCCTGCGTGGGAAGCATTTGTGTTATTTGAACTTTCTTTAAATAAAAGTGGGCAAAAAAGCCCTTAAAGAAGCGAGTTGCTGTGTGCATTAACAAGACGAGCTCTACCATTTGAAGCGAGTTCCCACATATGGTGGAGGATGCGGGCAGAACTAGAGATCCCAGCAATGAAGTAAGTTCATGTGTTGAACTGTGTTTGGTGCATGACTCTGCACTATCAGTGTGTGCAGGTGAGGAGATCCTGCAGAGAAAAGGAACTTGCCTTAAAGAGACAGTGCTCCATTGTGTTGCTGGACTGTGCAAAAGTGTTGTGGAGTGACTGAAAAGATGGGGCAGTCAAAACTCAAAAAAGAAGCAAGATTTTCTGAAATGATAGACCGAGCCCTGTGGCTGGAGGGGTTGTTACCACCAGAACAAGCCCCATACATGGCTGTACAGAGTTTGCCACAGTGGGAAGTGCATGCTGTTTTCCCTGGCAATGCTGGTGAAAGAAAACCAGTTTTCTGTGTGCAGAGTACTAAGCCTGAAAGAGGATGCAGTGTTGGAAGTTTGGCCAAGATACTGCCGCAAGAGCGCTGTTTGCGGTGCAGTGAATGGGGGCACACTGTCTCCAAGTGCCCATTATCCCAGCTTCCAGTACAAGGTGACACAACCAGACAAAGGTCTGGGTATGCAATTGGGAAGCCTGCTTGGAGTTACAGGAAGGAGCAACAGGCTGCCCAAAAGTTTCAGAAAAATGTGGTTGCCCATAGCAACACATGTGACTTCAGGCCTGCGGACCCTGTGAGAGAAGTGTCGTCTGCAGAGGATTGTGGCAAAGCAGAGATGAGAGTTCAGCGCATCTGGAGGAACCCACAAAGTTCAGCTGGGAGAGTGCCATCTCCCATAGCAACAGGAGAAAGCCTGCCAACCAGGAGAAGGGCCTACAAGGGAGATGTGGTTCCATATCCCAAGAAGGTTATCTGTGGAACCATACCCTGCCTGGAATGTGGTCAGTTTGGGCATGGTATCTTTACTTGCCCCAGATTATGGAATACCACTGATGAGGGTGCTACTGGGCAAAAGTCTTCATCTGCAAGCCCAGATTTATGTTTAAAAATGTTCGCAGCCCCTCTAGCAACAGTGAAGTACCTGTTGTGCCTGCAGGGGGTGCCAAGGAGTCAGAAGTGCCTGCCACAGTATCATCCTATAGCTGCATGGATGAACTGGCTGGCCAAAGCCAAGCAGAGGAGATGACAGAAAGGATCCAGATCCCACGCACTCAAGTGAAGGTGAAGCCTGTTACAGTGGTGGGTAAGACTGGTACTTTTGGACTTGAGAAGAAGGGTAAGGAACACAGAGGGGGGCGGAGCCCGAACATGGCGGCACAGGAGAGCGGAGAATAGGAACTCTCCGATAGCCTCCCCCACCTATCCTCCCTAAAGTGTCCCGAGAGACTAGCTAGCTGAGTCGGAGGGCGGCTGGAGACTATCCGGGAGAGAGGGGAGATCCTGGCGGTGGTACGGCGGTCGGCCGGGGAACGGAGAGTCGTGTCTGTCTTCCCCCATGAGGTCTGCCTGCGGTGATCCTGGAGAGAGAGTGTGGGGTTGCCGGGCGACGAGGAGGAGTGGTGTTACCACGTGGGCTGCCGCGGTGTACAGCTGGGAGAGGAAGGGACCGGCCGGCGTCCTAGGGGCAGGGGAAACGCTGACAGTGATAGCAGAGCTGTCTCCAGGGATTTCTCGGGGTATAAGCAGAGGAGGACAAAGAGACCCAAGGGAATTCCCTGGAAGAGGAGGACACGGCTGCAGGAGAAAGGACAACCCAGGACTGCAACTCGGAAGCTGCTCCATAGAGGAGGGTGAGTGAGAGCTGCTGGTCTCCCCAAGTGTTAGCTTCTCAGTCTGTGTTACTGACTATCTGATATCCAACATAAAGAATAAGAAGGGAATTCCCAGAGAGGGTCTGAAGAATGAAGTGACAGTTTAAGTATATACCCCAGAGCCTTGAAAAAGCTCTAAAAATCCTATATGTGACATGAAAGGAAAAAATAGTAAAGGAAATATGCCCAAGAACTCCCAAACTGGAACAATAAAAAAATACACGTCGCAAGGGAAATTAACTCCAGTAAAATCCCAGGAAATAAGCGATAGGAGTGAACTGGAAATAAGCTTAGATAATAGCTTAAGATCATCCCTGGGACCAGCTAACAATAGCCAACAAACACTGGAAAGTATGGAGTTGGGAGAAACTGAAAAAGAACTGCAAATACCAAATAAAAAGGAAATGGCGGAGATGTTTAAAAACTTAGAAAAATCCATAAAGCAAGAGATGGGGATAATTCGAAAAGAAATGGGACAGTTGTTAACTAGAGTGGAAGAAACGGAGGAAACAGTTAAATACCACACCCAAATTATCCCAAAATTAGAAAAACTGATAATAGATATTCGGAAGGAACAGAAAAGACTGCTTTATATGATGGAGGATCAAGAAAATAGGGACAGGAGAAATAACATTAGAATAAGAGGAGTCCCAGAGCTGCTACAGGGGGAAGACCTAAAGGAGACCACAGGAAAAATTTTGAACTCCATAATGGATAGATCTGGTGCGGAAATGTTTAAAATTGGATGGAGTGTACAGGATAGGAAAGTTTCAACAAGAAAAAGGCCCAGAAAAACCAAGAGATATAATCGTTCAGTTCCATAATTATAGAGACAAGGATGAGTTATGGAAGAAGATTAAAGGAAGAACAAATATAAAATATGGAGGGAAAAATATTCATATTTTTGCAGATATAGCAGCTGAGACACTGAGAAGAAAGAGATCATTGAAACCATTATTGGAACTGTTGAAGAAACAGAATGTGCAATATAGATGGGGTCGATCAGCATGTTTAATCGGTTGGAAAGATGGAGTCACAGCTTCTCTGAGATCCCCTGAAGATATGAAAGACTTTTGTAACAAATTTTGAACTGCAGAGAATAGAGATACCGGGATGGGAAGAGGAGGAGAGAGAGTTATATATGTTGGGAAAAGAGGAATGGCAGCTAGTTAGAAGAGAAAACAGAGAGCAAATAGATAGAGGGACACCGGGGAGGAGGGGGGGAAGGTGAGCGGCACATGGACGGAGCTGAGCCCCCAGATAGGAATCAAAAGTGGGACTTTTTCCACAAATGATTTATAAGCAAATAAAAAGCCTAACAGGGGTGAGGGGGCAAGGGGGGGGGTATTTAATGGGGGAGGGGAGGGAAGGAGGGGGAGGGGGTGGAGGGGAGGGAGAGAAGTGGGGTGGGACTGGGGATAGGGAGTTTTAAAACTGACATCTTGTATGAAAGAAGAGGTATAGGGAAGGGGAAGAGGAAAATAAATGGTAAAATAGGAAGAAGACAAATAAAATATGGAGGACATACGCTTTGTAACCCATAATGTAAATGGATTAAATTGCCCGGGTAAAAGATTTAGACTATACAGGGAATTACAACATAGAGAGGCCTCAGTTGTCTTTTTGCAGGAAACACATCTAGAGTTAAAAAAAAATATTAAGCTAAAGTCTAGACAACATCTGACATGGTATTATGCAGATTCCCCAGTTAAGAGAGCTAAGGGAGTAGCTATAGGATTTGCAAAAAACATTAGGTTTGAATTGGAAGATAGAAAGACAGACCCGGAAGGGAGGTTTTTGTTTTTGAAGGGTAAATTACATGACATAGAATGTACGCTTGCAAACATATATTGCCCTAATAGGAAGCCAGAGATGTTTTTGAAAGGGGTTATGAGAAGATTGATGGAGTTTGGAAAGGGATATCTAATAGTGGCGGGAGACTTTAACATATGTATGGATCCACAAATGGATACAACATCTGGAGTACAGAGAGGGGGAAATAGGTCCATGGGATTATTGAAAACGGTGATGAAAGAGTGCCAACTGGTGGATAGCTGGAGAATTGTCAACATGAGATATAGAGATTATACTTTCTTCTCTAGTGTACATAGGACATACTCTAGATTGGACTATATTTTGGTGGACCATCGACTTGTTGAGGATTTGGTTAAAGTAGAAATAGAAGCAATAACTATCTCGGACCATGCACCTGTAGTAATGGAATTAAGATGGGGAGGGAAACTGTCAGGAGGCCTATCATGGAGGTTGAATGAGACACTCCTCATGGACCCAGATACTGACCGGAAGATCAGGGAGGAGATAGAGAGGTTCTTTGAGGAAAATGAAACAGGGGATGTATCACTAGCTACAGTGTGGGAGGCACATAAAGCATATGTAAGAGGAATCCTTATTGCGATTGGGGCAAAGAAAAAAGGGAAAGACGAGAGAAGATTAGTGGGCTTTTGAAGGAAATAGCTGAGATGGAACTCCTACATAAAAATAACATAAGGAAAGAGATAGAGCAAAAAGTGATAAAAAAGAGGGAAGAACTAGAGAAAGTAATGGAGGAAGAAAAAATGAGAACTTTTAATAAGATCATTGGTGAAAGATATAGATGGGGAGATAGACCAGGAAAATATCTGATGAGAGCCTTGAGGAGAAAGAAGAATAGGAACTATATAGATAAAATAAAAAACTCCAAGGGAGAGTTAGTCCATTCAACCAAAGATATTGCAAAGGTATTTAAAGATTACTACAGTAAATTATATAATATTGCCCCTAAGGATGTTATAAATAAAGATAAAATGATAAATATTGAAAAAAGAAGGGATTATTTAAGAAACGCAGGATTACCAAAATTAAGTAAAGAACTATTAAACTCCTTAGAATCTGAAATCACACAGGAAGAACTAAAAATAGCATTAAAAAGCTTTAAGACGGGAAAAAGCCCAGGCCCAGATGGATATACCGTGAGGTATTATAAAAAATATAGTGATTTACTGTTACCTAAGTTAAAGAGATATATGGAGGAGTTGGGGGGAGAGATGGAGATAAGACAGGAATCCCTTCTGGCACAGGTGGTCTTAATACATAAGGAAGGTAAAGATATCACCCATTGTTCAAGTTATAGACCGATATCGCTATTGAACGTAGACACGAAGTTGTATGCAAAAGT